AAACTTATTTACACAGCGATACATTTACTAAATATTTGAAAGCTATGGAAATCTTTAAAAAATTTTAAATATCACATTTAATTATGCTTTGTAAAATTTTAAATCAAAGATTTCTTTAAAAAAAAAAACATTAATTTTTTCTAATTTTTTCTAATGATTGCCAATATTTTTTTAAAAAAAATCAGTTGATTTGAATCATGATTTTAGTTGTAATTTAAATAAACGAACCCTGAGAAATAGTGCGAAAAGTTAGTTCCTTAAAATGATTTATAATTTTGTAGTCATTTTAAATTGCAGGTATATAATAATTTATTCTTTGTGTTAAGGAAGATTGTAAATCTAAATTATTGCAAAAAAAAAAAATTAAAAAAAAAAAAATCGAGTTTGCATAATTACTCAAACATTAGTCTAAATTTGAATAAATGCTCAAAAACAGTCTTTAACTTGTACGAGTGGTTAAAGTTCTTTTTAATTCGCACAATTCGGTCAAAATTTAGTCTCAATTTATATTAGTAAATAAAAGTTAATTCGATTTTTAATAAATGTTCAAATATTAATCCAAATTAACGAAATGACATTAGTGTAGTCAATGATGACGCTTTTATTTCATCAATAAAAATAAATAAATAAAATTGATAGTGTGTAGTTCTAGGTAGATAAACGATGTAAATTGATTGTAAATAAATTAATACTTACGAATAATTAATATCGAAAAAAATAATTCTGATGAGAATTTATAGAACTGTTGTAAAAATGAACTGTAGACATAAAAAAATCTTATTGAATAAAATGAACGAAATTGTTCGAAAGCTCATACGAGATGATACTTTAAAGAGAAAATTATTTTAAGAAAAAAATCAGAAACTAAAACTTTACTGCCTTCCAAGAATAAATACTTAGTAAACACATGATTCATGGTAAATCGAACAAATTAAAAGAAAGCTTGGGTGATTGACAATGAAAGCATGAGTTAACAACTAAAAGAAGACCAAAATCGTATTCAGGTACTGTTTTGTTCGCTGACCTGTAACGGTTGAAGGTGGACTTTTATCTTATATTGACAGTTTGAAAATGATTGGTTTTATCAAGTGTTTATTTTACAAACCACGTATAGCTAACCCATTAGTACCCAGAGCCTTTTTTGAAGATTTTTTCCCACATAATTTTGATGTAAATTATCTGTAAGTCTTTTTTTCCCCTATGAACTGTAGCAACAGCAGGACGTATGAAGCTTTATGTATTTTTTTTTTAATTTCAAAATTAAACGTCGGTACTTACAATCAAAATATCTTTCAAATTTGCTATAATCTTAGTGAAGTGCTCAATTGGAGAATCTTCCTGTCCCAGTTGAATCATACTATAGTGCAATCAAGTTTAAGATGGTATAATTTGCGTGACAATATGGTACAACTGGCATTATTTTATGGCATTATTTTTACAATGAATTTTCACAATATTGTGATTCTACTGTGCAGTTTTATGCTGTAAAAAGTATTAATTTTAGTTATTTATTAAATAATTTGTTCGCAGTAAATTTTTAGCTAATATAATTGTTGGTAAACCTTTTTTTATATTCAAGGAAAAAAATAATTCTTAAGCAATTTGAACAAAAATGTACTTTTACAGTATTTAATTCAAAATTTCATACATATTTTTTGGACATTTCAGTATGCCTCAACTCATCTTACCATTTTGTTTAAACTTTTTAAGAGAACGGATTTCTTTTAATTTCAGTTGATTTCACGACGTTTACTATTAATGAGCAAAAATATCATTGAAAAATTGTGAATCGGGGAGATAAAGGGTTGATATTTATAGAAATATTTAATATTTGTATTTAATTAATAATATTTAATTATTTAAAATTATTAAATGTTATAAATTTAATTAAAATTTTTTTATTTGCCTACCAAGATCTTAAAATTCGAACTAAACGTTAATAAAATTCAAAAACAAGAACGTTCATTCATTTTAAATTTAATTTCGATTTATAAACCAAGATTTTAAAAATCGAAATTAATAGCATTAAAATTCTCAAATATTCCAAATTCATCGTCACTTCGATTTATTTATCAAGAATCAAGATTTTAAATTTCGAATTTAAAATTATTTTATTTCGAAATTAAGATTGCGAAGTCAGCATCATTTAATTTTTCATTCATCTACATAGATTTTAACATTCGAATTTTAAGTTACTATTTAAATTTGAAAATAAGATTGATAAGTCATTATCGCTTAAATTTCTTTTTGTTTACCAAGATTTAAAAGTTCGAATTGAAAGCTATTTAAATTCAAAAATAAGATTGCTAATTCATCATCATTTCATTTTTTATTCGTTTATCAAGATTTTGGAGTTTGAATAGCAATTATTTAAAGTCGAAAATGAGATTTCTAAGTCATCCATCCCCACATAGGAGTCGCAGGTGTTTCTTTCTTTTCTTTTCTTTTTTCTTTTTTTGAGGAAGAGAGGAGGAAGCAATTAACAAACATAGTCAAAGTAATTTTCTAAATTTCTCTCATGAACTTTTTTTTTAACTCTGCTAAATATCTGCAAAAATATAAATCTCTTTCCAGTTTTTTTCCTTAATCCTTTGACGCAGATGGGACATCGGTGCCCCTTTTATATATTTTCTCTGACTTTCTAAATACAAGCAAAAATATATTTTGGTATTTTTTAATTATAAAAAACAGTTTAGTAGCTACTAGAGAAATCTTTTAGAATATCGGAATTATATTTGTGCTAAAATATACAATCTAAAAAAAAGTAGGGGAGAGTCGTGTAGCCCCGTCCACTGAAGGAGTATTGCTTATATTTCTGTATAATATTGAGTAATAATCAATATTTTTGCATGTTTCTATTGTTTTACCATCTAATTAAATAATGCAAAAAGAATAGTTTAACTTAAAAGAATGGAAATTCAAAAAAACATGTTTTTCAGCTCTTTTCAAAATGTGTCGGGTAGCCCCGCCCAGTTGCAAAAATTATGTTTTTTGACTGTTTTTTCAGGTGTAAATGAAAATGACCAATGTATTGACAATAGATAAACCTCATTTATCATTTTTATCACAAAATTATTTTATTTATTACATATTTATATACTTTTAGTGAATTCTATCATTTAATAACAATAATTTAATAACAACAATATTTGTTGTTAAAAATGCATATAACATTCAAATTTGAAGCAATAAAATAATAATCTTTGCAACCGCATATTTATGGACGAAATAAAATTGGGCGGTGATACCCGACATTCATGTCAGCGGGGCTACCCGAAATCCAATTTTTTTGTAAATTTGTAATTACTCGAGCAATTTTTAACATATAAACTTTCTTCTTCATGCATATTAAACTTAAGACTAGTACATACTTTAATGCTGTATGTATAGAAAGAATTATTTTTTTAGTATTAAAATGAAGTTTAATCGAAACATTCAACCAATTTTTCTTAATTTCATGACTACTGTACTCAACATATTTTTAAAATTAATTTTTACCATGTTAACAGTTGCATAAATACTTGAAACTTTGAAAATAATTTTTTTTTAATACAACAATTAATGTCCGATGGCCCATTGACTTGAAAAAATATTCTATACATATGAAATTGACTGTGGGCGGGGCTATCCGACTCTCCCCTAATTTGTAAAATGTTTTTTTTATTCATATTCAAAAGTTAATAAACAATTTATTCCAAATTTAAGGAAATTTCATTGATGAATTCTCTTAGATCTAAATAACTGCAAATAAGTGTAATTTGAAAAATTATTGTTTGGAAGATTTTACCTTAAGCGCAGTAAAAGACATTAGTGTTTCATGCTATATTTCATAACCATAAATTATTAAAAAGACAATTAATAAATATAAATATTAAAATAATAATAAACTATTAAAAGGTATTAATTATGGTTATTTCATAACCGAAAATTAATAAATATAATATTTTTCACTTGTTTTGACCTAAATAAATACAAAATAATGAAAAAAGTATGAAAAATATGTTCAATAAAAATTCTGCTTCAAAATTTAATGAATTTAAATCGATAATGATTTATAAAAATTTTCTTCGTTAAATATTGAGGGTGGCATTTATAAAATTATAGTTATTAAGGTGGACATATACCCACTATATATATCGAACGGCGCATATGCGTCACCACTTAAATTCTGTATTGCTCACACCAAGATTACATAACCTTGAAATGAATATTATTAAGTGATCATTACTTAAATTCTGATTCGTTTACCAAGATAAAAAAAAACTCAACTTTGAAATTAGTATTAGTATTTAAATTATAATTTCCTTACCAAGATTCAAAATTCTAAATCATCATCATTTAAGAGTAATTAACCTTTAGATTATGATAATAATACAAGCCTTAATAGACTCTAAGGTCAAATGAATGCTAACAGTCTTCATTTAATTCTGTCTAATTATTCGCAAAAAAAGAACTCAGAGCGAATCATTGCCTCCAAAAGTAGAAAGCAATGAATATGAACACCGTAGTTATTAGCAATGGAGTAACCATAAGGAATTAACGAACTCATCCGGAACTAACGAAGTATGCATACAAAACAAAGTCGAAACAGGCGATGGAAAAATCGAGCCAGCTGGTCCTAAACTCATCAAAGTAAACTACAATCAATTGTTTCATTTTGGTTTCAGAGATTAGCGAGTAGTTGTCACACAATGTAATTGCAAAGGACAAAAGGTCAAGCAATCTGAATTTGTTGCTGCGACTGAATGATTTGTTGATGATTTTACCAGGTCATTTAAATTCTTAGTTTTTAAAAAGCTTTTTAACATTCGGATGTAACCTCACGTGATATTTTCACCTAGAAATTATATTGTTTTGGTGCAATTTATTTTCTGTACCAATTGTCACTGAAATAAGAAGAAAAACGATGAATATATTTTCTGTATACTTTGATTAATGTACTAAAATTCAGTGTACATGTTGCTTACTTTTATTTTTTATTTAATGAGTTTCTTTTTCAGTTTCTTCAGAATATGGCTATATAACAAAGGTTAACCATGTGTTCCAATTTAAGGAATTTGATAGATATGTCTGCCAAAGAAAAAATGAAGAAAAAGAAGTTTAAAAACGGAAACATCACAACAACAATGGAAAAGTTTGGGAAAGGAACATCAAAACAGGTGAGGTTAAAAAAACATCTGGTGAAGAAAGACCAAAACTGAGAATAGAATAAGAAGTTTGCAAAAGTTGCATCAATGCTTAAAAGAAATGAATTAGAAAGTGAAGCGTGAATCTATGGAAAGATAAATTAGGTAGTAAAGGTGTCTGGAACTGGATGCAGATTTTTTGGGCTCCTTGCACAATGTGCTTATCCAAAGTTTAAAAGTTCGAAGACCCAGAGATCACTGGAAACTCATTTATCGAAATATATCACCAGTGGGTAGATCAAACTTGTTGAAATAAGTTTGACTAATCATTAGGATCTTCCCTTGTATTACGCTTTTTCCTAACTCATCATAATGTAAAAATTAAAGTTCAAGGTAATGGTATCTTTCTTGAGGAGTAACATACCTTGTGTATTACTTGTTAAATCTTTATTTAAGGAGAAGGATGTATATAACTAAACTTGTTGCTGTTTCTTTATTTTAATGATATGCACAATACCCAGGATATTACAAATCGGTTCATGACGCAACCGCATAATGTATAAATAAATACCTCGGATGTTGTAATATCATTGCTAGTGTTCGTATTATTGTTTACTACGTCAAGTTGCGGTGTGCTATCTTGTTTACTTTTTAAAGATGTTGTAAGTTCTTAGGGAACTCTGTGCTTCTGCACGTATCTGTTCTTTTCCTTCGCACTCATTTGTAAACAGTCATCTTCATATTTAGTTCGAAATAAATTATTCTTGAAACTGCAAGCAGGTCTCCTTATTTCTTCCTCACCCCTGTACTTAAATAACCCTGCATCCAACCCAAGAAATCATTCCTCAGGACAAGCGTAAGGATAGGGAAAATAAGCGTATTGAAGATAAAGTGTTTCGAAGATTAAGTGAATATAAAGACCACTGAAATTAAGAAAAAAGGTCACCATACATGTATGAAGTAGAAGAAGCTGAGAAGATCTATAAAAAAGAAAGCCTTCATCAGTTCTTGAAGTAAATACAATAAAATATCATATCTAGACCTAAAACCTCTTTCAAAATTAAAAGTAAAAATAATATCAACTTAAAAAGAAAAATTTATATGTCTCATGAAAGGGACTTCTTAACAATATCATTTACTGTTCTTTCTTTAGCCAACAAGCTGTAACTTGCAATTTATTTTTTTCACTGGCAAAATACAAGTCGAGATTACATAATTGCTCATTTACATTGGTACGATTTACTATTTAAAAAAAAAGGTTAAGAAAGAGCTGAATGTTTTGAAACATTTAAGATAATGAGACTAGTAATTTATTTCACGTTTTACGACTTTCCGTTTTATTCATTCTGGAAGAAATCAGTAACATAAAAGTTTTACTTGAAGCAAAATAATTATATATGTACTAAACAAGTATTAGTGGTTGGCATTTAAGTTTTGATCGCATTTTGCGAGTAGTATGGTACGGGTAATTCTCATACAGCCTTAAATGAATCGTAAAAAAATTTAAAATGATAAAGGGTGCATTATTGATAAAAGTGAAATTTCTCCAGGGCTGTTGAAACCGGTGGGATCTAGTTCAATTCTATTAGTAATATTTATGTGTCCTAGTTATACTTTCATCCTTTTGCATATTGTCTACTTATAATTGAATGCGTTTTTCTTAACAATTAAAGGGTTCATTTATGTATAAGTCACATTTTATCTCGTTGGATTAACCGTGGATTTTAAGAGAGGACGGAAAGCTAAATTTAGAACAATTCTGAGTTTTTATTTTTGTAACAATGCTTAGAAAATATTGTATAATGAATAGTAGTGTAAAATGTGTAAAAATTTCCCTAAATTTTATGTTCAATCAAATTTACATAGGTGAGAAATTATTTTTTAACATGTGGTGATGAATAATTTTTATGTTTAGTTTGTGATTTTTTTAAAAATTATTTCGATAAAAATTCACTGTTGAAAACTAAGTAAGTAACGCACTAATTATTAATTGCAATTCCATAATAGAAAGCCCTTACTTAGTCTGCAACATATAAAAATGTGTTGTATTTTAACTGCAAGCTTTTATTAATTTTATTTCGTATTTATGAAGGTAAAATCGTGCAATCTGAATTTACTCCATGATCCGACTAGCTAGATCACTTAAATCACTACACACAACCGTTTCATGACTGTTCATAGCAGAATTCATTGCCATATTATCAACATAGAAAATTTATCGTCAATTGAAATTTTGACCATATTCAGACAAGATAGAATGCTCACATTTTAACTTTGGTTCTGTGCTGGATGGTGAAATTTAAATTATTTTTTGACTTCGAAAAGCAAAATTTATATCTCTATCAAAATTTATGTCTGTAGTTTATTCCCAAATGGAATTTATCGGAAATCTAAATTTCGTTCCGATAAATGGTACATGCTAAATATATTTCCAATAGAAAGTTTGACCATATTCAGACAAGAAGGAATGCTCAAATTTTAACTGGGTTTCTTTGCAGCATGGCAATTAAAGGTTAAAGTATTTTTTGACTTCTCAGAGCAGAATTTATGCCTCTAGTTTATTCACAAATGGAATTTATCACAGATCGAAATTTCGATTCGTTGAATGGTGCTAACTAAATTTGCTTACAATAAAAATTTTGAACATATTTAGACAAGATAAAATGCTCACATTTTAACAGGCCCTCTGTGTTGGATGACAAAATTCAAATCATTTTCTGACTACCAAAGGCAAAATTTATGTGGCCAGTTTATTTCCAATTGGGTTTCATCACGAACCAAAATTTTTATTTGATAAAATGGTGCTAGCTAAATTTATTTCAAATTGAAATTTCGACCACTTTCAGAAAGGGGGCATAAAGGAAGAAAACAAAATTATGAATAATATATATATATAGCTCAATAAATAAATACAAAAAGGACAAAAATAAAACGCAGGGCATATTTCTTATGTAATAAACTTCTATTACCAGCGAAAATTCTCCTTACATCTTTGTCCGATGTGATGCTGTTTACGCTTACATTATCTGTCTGACCAAAGTAGAATTATTCTCTCCACTTGCAGACATCTTGAAACACTCAGTGTTTTAAATTTTTGTTTTCATTTCATTACTTGCTTTCTTCTGTTAAGAATTAATTCTGCAGTGAAAAGTCACGTTAATTTTAGTAACATATATTTGCCGTCACACTTTTATGACTTTAATTTCCTTTTTCTCCGAGGTAAAAAATTTAAATCCTTCCGTTGAATCCTAATTCTAGTTTTAATATCCGGCTTTTAAGTTTCTTGCTTGTTGCCATATGATTTCTTTGAATTCTCAATAGAGATGTCTAAGCTGACGTCACTGCAAATACTTGTCCTCTGGAAATCCATCCATGATCAATCAATCAGTTACAGATGCAACCAATAGGAATAAGAATAGTCCAATAGGAATAGTGCAAACGGAGATTGAGTGAATGATAGTGGAACACTGATCGGCAACTAGTTCAGCCTCTGGCTTGGACATCTCTATAAATATCTTTAATTGCCTTTTTGCAAGCCTCCTCGAATGATCCATCAAAATAATTTGTATTTTAATCGTTTGATATTTTATGTAGAATCACGTTATTGACAAACAAACTGTTTTATATTAAAAATGGTAACACTGTGAAGAATTCTTTTTTTAATATTATTCTGAAATAATATTTTTTTTTCTTATTTTTCCCTTTATATAAAGCATATACTATTTAAGGGTGTTCTTAAAAGTTTTTTCTCCTAGGAAAATAAAATAGCTACAGTTTAAGTAACTTACAATTAAAGTTTATACTTTATTATCTGTTACTTGAATTAAAAAAAAAGGGGGCACACATTAAATGCCTCTCAGTGATTCTGTCGAAAATATGCACTCGTTGTGTTGCGGTTACTATTTTAGCCTTTTTTATGCGATTAACAAAGTGATACAATAGAGAAAAGGTACCTTATGTACTATAGTTCCCTATCCTATTATGAGATAACTCTATCGATATGTTCAAGCCTGGGCTGAACTATATCAGAGTGGAATAAATCAATCAATTGTCATAATTTTGAGGTTGCGAATGTCAACTAGTTGTTTGCACTATTTCTATTGGACTATTCGTATTCCCATCCCAAAAGAAACGTATTCCTATTGGTTTCAAATATAACTGATTGATTATTGATGGATTTCCAGTGGATTTCCATGAACATTATTGAACACATTTGGGATGCCTTGCAACGTGATGTTCAGAAGATATCCCCAACCCCTCTTACTCCCACTGGTTTATGGACAGCCCTGCAGGATTCATGGTGTTAATTATCTCCAGCACTTCTTCACACATTGATCGAATCCATGCCACGTCGTCTTGCGGCACTTCTTCGTGCTAGCGGACGCCCTACATGATATTAGGCAGGTATACCAGTTTTTTTGGCTCTTCAGTGTAAATTCCTTTCTTTTGCCTTGCACGATCTCTTTTTCTCTTCTTTTTGCCTAGCTACAAATCATCGAATAAGATTAGCCACTTAGTATATAAATTTCTTGGAATTCCCTGGATTTATAAATTTATCAGAACACGCTTTATTCACCAGAACACGTTCAGTTCACCAAGAGAAAGGTTAACGATACACAGTATTTATTTGACTCTTTCTTTTGCCATGCATTTGATCTCTTTTCTTTTTCATTGCTACAAATTATCTAATAAAATTAGCCATTCAGTATATAAATTCCTTGAATGCCTTGGAATTCCTTGGACTTATAAATTTATCAATACACGCTTTATTCACCAGAACACGTTCAACTCACCTAAAGAAAGATTAACTATACACAGTATTTATTTGACTCTTTTTTTGTTGTTGTCTTGCACTGGATTTTTTGGTTCTTGATCTCCTTTTTTGCCTTGCTACAAATTATTTAATAAAATTGGCAACTTAGTATATAAATTCCGTGGGGACTTAATATTCATAAATTTATCAGAACACACTTTCTTCGCCAGAATACGTTCAATTCACCAAAAGGAAGGTTAAGTATATACAGTATTTATTTGTCTCTTTTTTTTTACCTTGCTCTTGATTTTTTTTACACTTGATCTCTTTTTTTGCCTTACTACAAATTGCCTAAAAAAATTGGCAACTTAGCATATAAATTCCTTGGGGAATTGATATTTATAAATTTATCAGAACACGCTTTCTTTACCAGAACCTCATCAAAAATAAGGTTAACTATTCACAGTATTCATTTGGTACCAAAAATGATGCTATTGATCACGATCAAATTTGCACTATAACCACGCCTTTTTCTCGATGTCTTGGCACTTTGGTGTACAACTTTAATCTTAAGAAAAGAGTTTCAAAGCAAACGAGCTTCAAATATCTTTTGTGTTTTCTGAATTTTTTGCATTTTCTGAATCAAAAATTCCATACTTTGAAATAAATTGCAGGATAATTAAATTTCCATTTGCAATTTTTTCACTGGATCCTTTCTTAAAGCTCTTCACTCATTTGATTTACAGAAAGATATCCAAAGAAACAAAGTAAAACGATGATGAACTTTATGTCTAAAAATAATATTTATATCTCATTTTTTTTTATCAACTCTCTTTCAATATGTGAAACTCCGTGCTGTTACTTAATTATAGTGAATGCAGAAAGTGTGTCGTTTCTTCGGTTCCAGTTCGAAAAAAAGGCTCTCTGCTTACAAGATGATTGCCTGTATCGAAACCTTTAATTTTCTGGGCAGAGCTGCTGTTGACGCCTGAAGCTGCTCCAAGAAAGAAAAATGCATAGAAG